GAGAATTACCTGCCAATATCCCTGACGAACATAGATGCTAAAATCCTCAACAAAATATTAGCAAAACGATCCAGTTATACATTTAAAAGATTATACACCATGACCAAGTGGCATTTATTCTGGCAATGCAAGGTTTCTACAATATCCACAAGTCAATAGATGTGATACAAAACATAAAATGAAATATAAAAACCACATGATCATGTCAACAGATGCAGAAAAGGCATTTGATAAAATCCAGCACCTATTGTTTAAGGTGTTTGTATAATTTCATACTTATACATCTAGAACCTAGAGAGAACACTGTAAGTATTGTGGGAGGAGATGTCTAAATACAGGAATCACCCTGACCTGTGTGGTTCAGTTGGTTGGAGTGTCATCCTGTGAACTGAAAGGTTACTGGTTTGACTCGGGTCAGGGCATATACCCAGGTTGCAGTTTGATCCCGGGTCCCAATGTGTACGGGAGGCAGCCGATCAATGTTTCTCTCTCACACCCATGGTTTGTTTGTTTGTTTTTTTCTTTCTCTCCCTCTCCTTTCCTCTCTCTCTAGAATCTATGAAAAACATATCCTCGGGTGAGGATTTAAAAAATAATAAATAAATACAGGGATCAATAATTTTTTGTACTACATACCTACACGCAGGAAGCATGTGTAATTATGAAAAGACAAAAGAAATGAAATAGAAGACCGAAAGGAGGGGAATTTTAAATACAAACAAGGAGAGAAGAAGGCAGAAAATGAAACCCTGTACCAATTGTTGGGGGGGCCAAGGGCAGACACCTGTTTCTTGGTTTGCCTCACGTACAGGGCAGTCAGTCCCTGAAGGAGCCTGAGACCAGCTCCTCCTTAAGGAGAGGTTTTGCTCATTCAATAACAGATACATTCAGCATGGCCCAAGGCACCTCAAACACTGTTCTCCCACTCAGCACCACACTTACGTCCAATGAAAGTGCCAATAATGCAGAGAGTGCCCACTCCCAGCTGAGGGTTAACCATTACCACAGTTCTGGGGTGCACCGAACAGCACAAAAAGCTGGGCAGCAAGCAGAGTTGGAGCAAGAGGGATTAGGATAAGCTTTGAGAGAGAAGTGGTGTTGAAACCGGGATTGGATGCAGTCAAGAAAATGTGGAAGCAGCCCTAGCCAGTTTGGCTCAGTGGATAGAGCATCGGCCTGCAGACTGAAGGGTCCCATGTTTGATTCCAGTCAAAGACACATGCCCGGGTTGCGGGCTCCATCTCCAGTAGGGTGCCGGAGGCAGCCAATCAATGATTCTCTCTCATCATTGATGTTTCTATCTCTCTCTTCCTCTCCCTTCTTCTCTGAAATCAATAAAAATATATTTTAAAGAAATAAAATGTGGAAGCAGCACACAATCTCATTTTTTTTCTATTTATTTGTTTTTTATTACACAGTCTCATTTTCACTGCAAACATAGAGGGCACTAGGCTGGAGAGTGAGCTGAGACCAGATCATGGCAGGTCTTGAATGACAGGGTGAAAAGCATACTCATAATTCAGCGGGAGCCACTGGAAGCTTTTGAACGAGAAGTGACATGACAGAGCCTTGATTTTTAACTGGATATATGCCTGTACGAAATAAAGACTGCATTTCCTAACGTCTCTTGCAGCGAGGTGTGGTCATGTGCCTAAATTCTGATTAATGAAATCTAAAGGAAATAGGACTGTATAGCCAACTTTTAGGAAGTTTTCTTAAGGGAACAGAGAATTGCTCCCCCCCCCCCCGCCCCGCCCCCTTTGTTGGATAGAAGCTGAAACTAATCCTAACATGTAAGTTACTTATTAGAAAGATTGGCCCAAGGCAAGGCAAAATATAAGATGGTTGGAACAAAAGGAGCATTGGAGGTGGGAAGACTAATTAGGAAACAATTCCACAGTCAAGATAAGCAGTGAGGAATTAAAAACTGAGCCAAGTATGGTAGCAGTGGAAATGGACGGGGGTGGTGGATATAATATATGTTGTGAAAACAGTGTCTTTGTGAATTGGTAATGGATGAGAAGAGACACCAGAGAAGGGAGAATCAAAGGTCACTGTGAGATTTCAAAGAGAGGTGACTGGCGGTCAACAATGTTGGTAACAGAACAGGGGGTTCAGAAAGAGGAGCAGGCTTGAGGAGGGCACAGAAATGGGAGTCAGAGGAGGAGCAGGCTTGAGGGAGCCAGCCATGAGTCAGTGTTTGACACACTGAGTTGGAATGCCTTCGGGATGTCCAGGTGGAGATGTAAAGCAGGCAATTGGGAATTCATTTCTGGAGCATGATACGAGAGTCCTTGTATAAAAACGGTAGTCAAAACAAAGGAAGTTGCTGGTTGGCAAAATAGAGGGTGTCTCTAGAATTGCCTCTCCTTCTGTGCACAAAGAGAAATAAATTGTGTAATGAAAAATCAGATAAAAAATATGTACAACTCTTCACTTGACATGCGCCCCCCTCCCTCTCTCAAAAATAACAACAACAAAAAACACCACTAGCCACAACAACAAAAAACCCTACAATGAGGCAGTAATGGAAACCCTCACTGTGTCAAAATATGAATAGCTCCTGAAAGTTCCTTAGGAAGGCATTTTGTTTGATTTGTACAAATATCTGTCATGACATGTTTTAAGATGACTCCCTTTTCAGCAAGAGATCTATAGCAAATTGCCTTCCTCTTTAACTCATGTAAGACTTCCCTTTCACAAGTCTTGAAAGAACAATTCTTTTCAAAAGCAGAATGAGAAAATATAAAAATCCAATAAATGTGACAAGTAAAACTACTACCTAGAGCTTTCTCCTGTATCTGCTGTGACCAGAGCAAATGTTAAATAAAAAGGAAATGAATCAAGTGTGAACAGTAAGGAACCAACTTCAAAGGCTGGCTAAACAGTCATCTGCACTGTTTTCGCGGGACGGCTTGGGGATGGAAGAGGTTAAAATCCAGTGGCTTGTGTGTCAGCGAGGGTGCGCTGGAAGTAGCGGTGTGGGAGCTCTGTTTTTTCCTAGAAGAATTTTGCGTCTTTACCGCAGACAGCTGCAGGGGAACCCGAGGCGCGCTCCTTGGGGCGCGCAGTGGCGGGGCCGGGCGCTGGAGTTGCTGGCACAGTGGACCCGGGTTTCACTGAGGGGTGTCAGAGCCCTTATTGCACGTGTGCATGAGGCTTTTCTCATCCGCCCATCCATCCATCTTTTGTCTCAGGGCCAGGGCCTGCGCTGGGCATCCCGGCGTGCTTTACCGCACATAACCCCACGGGACTTCATGGGAGGAGGAGGTTTGATGCAGGAGGACGCGGCGGGAAGACTACCGTGGGGCCCCTCAAAAGAGACGGGCGAGTTATCGGATCCGGGCGGTGCGGGGCGAAAGCAATAACCCTGAAGGAAAGTCCTCCCTTCTCCCAATCAGGACAAGGAACGCAGCCCCATTCCCCCTTCTCCCGGGCCCTCTGGCTCGGAGCGCCCATGGGAGGAGGAGGTTTGATGCAGGAGGACGCGGCGGGAAGACTACCGTGGGGCCCCTCAAAAGAGACGGGCGAGTTATCGGATCCGGGCGGTGCGGGGCGAAAGCAATAACCCTGAAGGAAAGTCCTCCCTTCTCCCAATCAGGACAAGGAACGCAGCCCCATTCCCCCTTCTCCCGGGCCCTCTGGCTCGGAGCGCCCAGACCTCGGCCCGCCCGAGACCCCGGCAGT